ATTATTTGATTACCAGAGTTGAAGCTGTTAACTAAGCAAACATGCTATTGCATTGTGTTTTTAAGATTTAGGAAAAACACTAGTATCACTTTTATGTTCACTGATGTAGGATAATATATCTGTTAAATATCAACTTAATACCATCAAGATAAAATATAAACATCTCCTCTAGACTGTGAGGAGAAGTGCAGGAGAGGGCAGGGATTTTTGTCTGCTGTGTTCACGGACATCGGGCTGGCTCCCCAGGGAAAGAAAGTGGAGCTGAGTGTATGCTCAATCAGTCTCAGATTTGGTAATTGGATCCATCTTCTCAGAATCTGACAGAGTGAAGAGGCGGAAAAAGCCCCAAAATTGCATGAAATGAGCTCATTTCACAGAAAACAACTTCAAGAATGGGGCTGAAGCATTCCCAATTTATCCCCTTAATTCATCACGTACTGCTAATGTTTTCCAAGCTGAAACGTTTCTTTTAATTTTGCTCTTAGTATCTTGACAGTACAGACATTTAAAATATTTATGTAGTCTAATCCAGGTGCTCAAATTGTATTCCCCAGACTAGCATCATTGTCATCACCTGGGAATTTGTTGGAAACACGGATTCTGGCAGCCCACCTCACACCTACGGGATCAGAAACTCCGGGGGTGGGCCCAGGAATCTGTGCCTCAACCAGCCCTCCCGGTGAGTCTGATGCCCGCTCAAGTCTGGGAACCACTGTTGTAATCCAACAGCTTTTTCCCCTATGCTTTCTGATTTTGGAATTATGACTAGAAACCTCTTCTCCACCCAAGTTTATGGATGATATCGTTTCCATTATCATCTAATTTTTATTTAACATTTAAATATTTAACCCATATGGAATTTCCCACCACCAAAATATAATCTCCATCAGGACAGGAGTCTTCGTTTATTTTATTTCTCTGTTTTATTCTAAAACTGTGACTGGTATATGATGGGCTCTTAATATATATTTATTAATTATTGAATTAACTACTTAATTTTAGTATAAGATGAGACGCATCACTTATAAAGCTTTCCTTGAAGCAATAAATAACAGGAAACTACAGTTAGCCTTTCAATTAGCCTGGGTGGTTTAAACTGACAATTGGCAATCCTAATTATAATAAACTTAGTCAACGTGCGCTCCCTGGTATTGTACTAGAGTTGTAATCTTAGTGGCATTGCATTTTTGGTGCTAGTTCCTAAAAGCGAATTTTAAGACTCAAAGAACTCTTAGTTCTGTTAAGAAAAACTATCCAAAACTTGGAAATAAACTAAGAGATTACTGTTTGCCCTTTCAGTGTCCTGCTGGGTTGTGTCTAGCAGGCACTCCTGGGGATTATCTGATGTCCAGCAATGTGCACCTTTCCTTGAATTGGTATTTATTATTTTTTAGTATACAGGTATTGTACAACTCTGAAAGGATAGAGCTTAACATGTAGAAAACTGATAGTAATATAAATGAATTCTGTCCAGTAGAAGAGCAAATCATTTTTGTCCCATAAAAAAGATAACCCCAAAAGTTATAGCTTTATTGTGCTGCAGGATATTGACCAATTTTGTATCTATATTAGCAATCTTATTGATGCATTCATTCTTTGAGCCACTGTACATACTTGGCACTTCCCAATTCTCTTTGAACAAGGCTAACCATCTTGCTCATTCTCTCATTTATGAGTTAAATACATCTTTGGACACATGCTCACTTTATATTTATCTAAGGGTCATATTTTTAAAACTTTTCAAAAATAATTGAGTTTAACTTCCTTAATTTTCTAATGAAGAAATTGAACACTAGAAATTTTAAGTGTCATATTCAAAGTCTTAATACAAGTTAGTGGAAGAGATGGGACAAGAATGTAGGAATAAGGAATGTAAGTTGGTAAAAGGGTACAAACTTTCAGGTATAAGATGAATACTATCTAAGTGTCTAATGTATAACATGGTGACTATAGTTGATAATGCTGTATTGTATGTTTGAAATTTGCTAAGGGAGTAGAACTTAAATGTTCTCAGTGAAAAAACAAAAAAGGTAAATATGTGAGGTGATGGATGTGTTAATTCAATGGGGGGAATCCTTTTACAACATATATGTATATCAAATCATCACATTGTACACTTTAAATATCTTACACTTTTGTCAATTATACCTCACTAAAGCTGGAAGAAATGAAGCCAAAGACTTTATAGTGAACATTTTTTTAAAAGATGTAATTGTGTTTGAAGAAATCAGCGAAGTATAATTTCTTGAGACTTGAGAGGAAATCCACAGAAAAGCTTTGTGTAATTTGGATGCCAGTCGTAAAGAAATAACTATCTCATTGCTGATGAAAAGCCAATGAGGTATCTTTAATGAGTATTGGTATGGCTTTTATGAGAGGTTACTGGAGATTAATGTCACGTTTTTCTCTAAGAATATACAAAGTTGTTACTCTTGTTTTCCATAAAGAGAAGCATTGCCTTACTAGCAACTGCAATACTAATGGAAACACAAAGATTTACCATATGTCATGGAGTATAGATTGATATCAAATTTAAGCTAAAAAAATGCTTATTATCATATAATCAAAAGGTAAAATCTCAAAGCTGGATAAACAATATAAAAAGCCGCATTTATAATTTGAATCTCATTTGTATAAAATTCTATATGTACATCTATTTATATATAGGGAGAAATGGAATGATGTTCACCAAAATAATAAAAGTGGCTACCTCTGGAGAGGTGGGAGTTAGGATTCGATTCACTTTCTTTTTTAAAAAATAAACTTTTAATTTTAGAATAAATTTAGATTACAGAAAAGTTGCAAAGATAGTGGAGAGTTCCCAAATGTCCTTCACCCAGTTTCCTCTAATGTTAAGATGTTATATTTACTATGATACATTTGTAAAAATTAAGAAATCAACATTAGGGTATTACAATTAACTAAACTGTACACTTTGTTCAGATTCCATCTCTTTTTTCACTAACGCGCTTTTCTGTTCCAGGATTGTATCCAGGACACCGCACCACATTTTGTCGTCATGTCTCCTTAGTCTCTTCTGGTCTGCTATAGTTTCTGTCTTTTCTTGCTTTTCGTGACCTTGACAGTTTTGAAGAGTTCTGGTCAGGTGTTTTGTAGAATGCTCTTCAGTTTGGGTTTGTCTGGTGTTTCCCCCATGATTAAAGTAGGGTTGTGGGTTGTAGGGAAGGATACTACAGAGATGAAATGCCCTCATTACATCATTTCAGGGAGTACATGATATCAACACGACATCGCTGGTGATGCTCACCTTGATCAGTTGGTTAAGGTGGTGTCTGCCAGATTCCTCCACTGTGAAGTTACTATTTCCCTTTCTACTCTTTGGAAGTGAGTCACTAAGTTCAGCCCATGCTCAAGGGGAGGGGAATTAAGCTTTATCTCCTAGTGGAAGTTATACACATATATATTATATGGAATTCTTCTGTAAGGAGGAGTTGTCCCTTCTCATCCATTTATTTATTTATTCAATCATTTATTTCTATCAATATGGACACATGTATATTTATTTGATACTTTGGGTTGTAATCCAATGCTATGCTATTTTATTGTTCAAATGTTTCCAGTTTTGGCCATTGGGAGCTCTTTCAGTTTGGCTCCTTTGTTCCTTTAATTGCCTTCATCTTTTTAAATTTTTTGCCACTTCCTTTCTATTTTTAGTGTATTGCTTGAATTTTCTATATTAGCATGTATTATCTTCATGATAGAGAAATATCAGTTATTTTCACTTTAATATTGGAGGGAAAAGATATGATTACTACTTTGATGTTCTACCAACCAATTTCTGCTTGTTTCTCAACTGCTTGGCAAGGCAAATAGAACAAAAAACAATTTCTGGCAGAAATTGCACTTCAGTGGATGTTTGTGAACAGTAAGTAAAATGATAGTATTTGGAACGAACTTCAATAGTTTTCAAGTGTGTGGGTGTTGGGTTTCTTAAAAAGATTTCCCAGTGGAGGGCAGGGTGCCATAATGGTTAGTTCATGCAGGCTGCTTTGGTGGCCTGGGTTTAGGGGGTTCAGATCCTGGGTGTGGACCTACCCACCGCTCATCAAGCCATGCTGTGGCAGTGACCCATGTATAAAATAGAGGAAGATTGGCACGGATGTTAGCTCGGGGACAATCTCCCTCACCAAAAAAAAGAGATTTCTGGGACAGAGGTTTCTGTTCAATCATTCAGTAACACTGACTGCACACCTTTGTGGTAGCCACTCGGGAGACAAACATAAAAAAGGGTAGGAGGCCTGAGTTAGGAGGCCAGACTATGGGAGGGACATAACTGAAAGTATGCTCTTCTATACCATATCATTAGCCTAGGGTAGAGTTACACCTTGAGGACAGAGATAAAACAATGCTTACACTCTTGACAAGTCGGGTGGTGGTTGTGGTCAAGGGGATGGGCCAAAAGACACAGTGTCCAATCAAGGCGTGGAAATGCTCTGGGAGGAGGCTGTAATACCCTTATTATGAACCAGTGCGATTGTAGACCTTACTGCTGTTCTATGAAGTTGCCGTATTGCAGAACTGAGGCTGAGAGTTTACATGACGTCCTCAGGTCTACACAGCCGGGAATGAGCTGGGATTGGAACCCACTCTGGCTTTACTACTTCCAACGCTACCCACACGAGGCGCCTTTTGAAAGAGAAAGCGCTCCTCGCCCAGCACTAACTGCTGTATCGCCTTTTCCCCTTCTTGTTGGGTGTGTGTCTTTTAAGGCCGTACCATTTCTCCCACATTTCCGTTTAATTTTCCCTTGAGGGCAGGCGCCGAGGCCGCTCACAGCCCCAGAGCAGCGAAACTGACTTCCTAGGAAGGGAAGGAGCTGCACAAGCGATCACCGACGCGCGCGCTCCCCGGGAGGAGGCCACCGCGGACCCAGCGGCGGACCGGCGGGACGCCCAAAGGCAGCACTCCACACCGCCCCAGCCCCGGCGGCAACGGGGACTCCGCCGAGAACCACTTCCGGCGGCACCGGAAGCCCGGCGGGGACTTTTTCGGGGACGGAATGACCGGCCGGCACTTCTCACGGGTCCTGAAGGCGGTCCCCGCCCGGCCTCAGAATCCAGCCGCCCCGTGCTTTATGTGAGAGCTAAGTGAGTGGGGTCCTTGAGCCGGGTCGTCCCGGGTGGCGTATATTATTTGGCCTCAAGTGTCAGTGGCACCAATCATGATGCCTGCGCATTCGGCAGGCTTTCCGGGATGCATTTGCTCCCTGCGTGCCGCCACCTTAGGCATAAGGAAAGGGTTATTCGGCCAGAAGCTGCCGGCTTGCTTCCTCTCCCCGGTGCCCAGGGCTTTCTGGGCTCGGGTTCGAGCCACCGCAGATCCGTAATTGTTCTACAGTGTCTTCTTTTTACCTTTCAGCTAAATTCCTTCCAACTCTTGCATTCAGACGTTTCCACCAACGCAACTACGTTTTCAACATCCTTTTTCAGATTCCGTGAGAAGAATATCCTAGCGGCGAAAGAACACCGAATTGGGAGTCAAAATCCTGGGTTCTAGTTCTCACTGTCTTTACCTGGCGTTGTGACATTGGAGAGGTCCTTTTGACCTCTCTGGACTCCGGTTTCCTTTTCCGTAAAATGAAGAGGTTGGAAAAGTAGGAAGTTCCTTCCAGTTTTGACATTTGGGTAATTGCCCCAAGTGTGTTTCTAATTCCTGCCTCGATTACATATCTGTGTTTTGGTTAATCTTCATGTGGGGCCCTTCCTTCCTCTCCATTAATCTGTGTCCTTGTCAAATCTGGTTTTAGACTCATAAAAAAAACTTTCCTAAGGAATCCTGTGCTTCCTGAGCAGTCTGTTTTTTAGTCCAGGGACACGTACCTAAATAAGATTTTTTTAAATATGCTTTTCTTGACGTGTTTAATGGTCTTGAGAATCATTATATTTGAACACTTTAAAGACAGTGAACTCTGAAGGAAGGGACTCTGGCTTATTAAACTTAGAATCCACAATCTCAGACGCAACGCCTCGAGGATGGTGCTCGGAAAATGTTTGCTGAGGAGAAAACATGTACTTCTCACATTATTTTCGTTGCTCTGTCCCTTAAACACTGAAAAGGAAAGCTGTAAAACTGCAGTCTTGAGAGCAGAGGGAATAGAAGACCTGGAGGAAAAGAACTATACTACTGGGTTCTGAACTATACTATGGAGTCTGTTGCAGTTTTCTCTCAATAAATTCTTCCAAGAATAATATTCAAGAGACATTATTCAATAGATATTTATTGAGTGTCTTCTTCCCACTCTAAAGCATCTTTTGTCGGGGGGAGGGCAGAGGGAAAAATGTTGAGAGTTGAGAGTTCCAAGAAGAGGGAGCGTATGCAAAGGTGCAAAAATCAGGTGTCGAAGTATTGGAGATTACAAGTGGGTCAGAATAACAAAAGCTTGGGAGGTGGAAGTGAGGGCACTATGAGAGTAAGATTAACAGAGGGCAGATAATGAGTCCTTGTTTAGCATGTTTTGAAGTTGAACATTAAACTGGGATAATGGGGAGCCACTGGAAGGTGTTTAGCAAAGCGGTGATAAGTTCAAATTTGCATTTTAGAAAAATCACTCTAGTTGTGATTTGGTTAGTTGATGTTTCAAGAGTGAAAAAAGAGCCTTTTGTAAGTCTATTATTGTATTTCAGTTCGATCACAGTAGGAGCATTAACAATAATGGTAGTTAATATCTAGAGAGTATTTAGTATGGAATCCCATCTCTCTGACTAGACCGTGGACTCGTTCAGGGTAAGAACCCCATTTTACTCATTGTAACTCTAGACAATGCTTTGGATATAGTAGATATCCAATTAATATTTGTTAATTAGATTTCAATATTAACCAAACTATTATTTGAAAACTCTTTTTTCTAGGAGAAACATGAACCAGAAGATACTGAAGTTGGAGAACTTGCTACGATTTCGCACTCTTTGTAGGCAGCTGCACGGCCTGGGTCAAAGAAGACCGTTAGCACAGTGGAGACACCTGTTTTCATCTGTCTACCCAGTGTGGACGGCTCAGCTCTGTGTCCGACCCTGGCAGACAGATGTGCTCATTGGGGCTGCTTTGTCTCAATATAGGCTTCTAGTAACAAAGAAGGTACTTACAGATTTTTGTCCATTACTGTATTACTTGGTCTGTGGTGAAAGTGCCGACAGCCATGAGTAGGAATCCATTTTGAGTATTTTGTCATTTATGGAATCTTTATTCCTTAATGCTACTCTTTAGGCAATAGATCTTTGTGAGGAAGGGAAATTCTAGTTAGTTGTTCAGGATGCTGATGCATTTGGTTACTTGGAAATCAGTATATAACAGTGAGTTAAGGATGCAGATTTTTTTATTTTAGTCTAAGGTTTAAGTACTTAATAGGACTGATAGTAGAAATAGGAGGAGTGATTATGGTAGATGTTGCAGAATAAATCTAAATTGTCACTTAAAGTTTTCTCTTCTTTATGCATTCTGAATTTTTAATAGGAAGAAAGATTACGGAAATCTCAGTTATCTTCAACAAAATCTAAAAAGGAGGTAGAGGTATGGATTGGAATAACTGTTGAGGAGCTGGCCAGAGCAATGGATAAAGACATAGGTGAGCCAGATAATTTAAATTTTAATTAAATTAAATTAAATTTAAATTTAAAATATAAATTCAATCCCACAGATTAGTGCTCTAAACCTAAAACTGATTTTGTCTGATTAAATAAAAGTTATCTATTTGAAGCTTTTTAAATATCATATTTACATCTCTTCTGAATTAAAGATAGTTTTAATAGGTAAATTTTTTTAACTACTACATTAGCAATGTGAGTACTTTTTTTTTCCTTCCCAGGGTCAATTAAAATAACTTGATTTAGTATTTCTGGTTGAAATGCTGTGGGCACTTTCCTACAAGTAAATATTTATTTAAGTCTTGGGTAAAGATAAAATAATATGTCAATACTATATGTATTTAATACAAAGGGAAAAAGATTATTCCTATGTATAAGCTACCTCTCAAAAGTTTAGGATAACATTGGAAAATTGTAGTTGCTGGATTATTAGGGATTTTTAGCATTATTAGAAACAGAATTGTACTCATAATTTTTGTGTTTTAGAAAGTTTTATTCTGTTAGAGCATATTCACTTAGAAAATTTGCATTGTATCCTTCTTAAAATGTGTTTTCTTGGGAAAGGATGTGGGGGAGAGATACATAGGAAAAGGTTTCTTGGCATTATTGTTGAGTAGGTTCAGTGCTGTGCTGAGGCTGGCTTGTACCAGCTTGTGAGCTGATTGCTAAATTATAAGGAATTGTGAGCTGGTTGTTAAACACAACTGTTTTAAAAAATTAAATCATAAACAAAGGTATTAAATACTCATCAAAACTCTTCACTTCCTAATTATTTTACTACATGTTACTGTTGTCTAGTTTTTGAGGTTATTTATGCGTATTGTACCTATATAGTGGAAATACCATGTAATAGTGTGCTGCTGTGCATCTCTTTCCATCTCTGCATTCAGTGACTTCATGTTAGTAGCTTGAAATCAACCATTGTGGGAGTACTTGCACCATGGAAATTGGAAAATGCTATAAATCAGGAATTTTTGTTTGTTTGTTTTAATGGAGAGCTGTGTAAGTAAACATTTACTGGCACACTAATGATTAGGATGTTCTTTTTTTTTTTGAGGAAGATTAGCCCTGGGCTAACATCTGCCAGCAATCCTCCTCTTTTTTCTGAGGAAGATTGGCCCTGAGCTAACATCTGTGCCCATCTTCCTCTACTTTGTATGTGGGACACCTGCCACAGCATGGCTTGACAAGCGGTGTGTAGATCTGCACCCAGGATCCAAGCCAGTGAATCCCCGGCTGCCGAAGCAGAATGTGCAAACTTAACCACGGCGCCAGTGGGCCGGCCCCTGAAAAGGATATTTTTAGTGTTATGTTCTGCTTACCTGAGAATGCCTTTCTTTATCTGTCTCTCAAAATATAATTTATAGTGTGACTGAAATTCTGGAATCAAAACTACTTACTTCATTATCATCACAGATAAATTTTTTTATCATCCACAGGAAAATATGACTGAAATTAAAACAAAGCATATTAAATAAAATGAAAAAAAGAACAAGTATATGTTTTTCCTATGTTTCAAGACTTTTTGGATACCCTAAATAGATATATAAATAAACTAATTGTGTGCATGTATTCTGAGATACTGTATATAATGTATGTGTGTATATGTATATGTGCATATAGTCAATCCTCATTATTTGGGGATTCTGTATTGGCAAATTCACTTACTCTCTCAAATGTATTTGTGGCCCAAAAATCAATACTCACAGTGCTTTTACAGTCATTCCTAGACATGTGCAGAGTGGTTGAAAGTTTGAGTTGCCCGATGCACACATTCCCAGCTGAGGCTGACCAGGGCAACACTCTGCCTTCTTGTTTCAGCTCTCAAGCTGTAAACAAGTGTCATTTTTGTGGTTTATTTAGTGTCGCATTTTTCACATCTTTGTGCTTTCTGTTGTTTAAAATGGCCCCTAAGCATAGTGCTGAAGTGCTATTTAGAGTTAGTAACTGCAAGAAGGCTCTAATGTGCCTTATAGAGAAAATACGTATGTTAGGTAAGCTTTGTTCAGGCATTAGTTGTAGTGTTGTTGGCTGTGAGTTTGATGTTATTGAATCCATAATATATATTAAATAAGATGTCTTTAAACAGAAACACATAAAACAAGGTATGTATTAATTGACTGATGAATATTTTGTGACCAGAGGTTGAAAGAACCTAACCTTGTATTTCCCTTTGGAGCAATGGTTCAGTATTTGCCAATTCAGTATTTCCGGTGAGTTTATAGAACATAACTACCATGAATGATAAGAATTGACTGCACATACACACACATTTGTGTATGTATGACATATAACTACAAGTTTTCAAAGAACTAGACCATGACAAACTACTCAATCGTAAATGTATGCTACATGCAATTTAATGTTTTGTTGATGGTTCACATGGTACATAAATATTCAAATATTTGTGAAAATGCAGAAATGTCAGTTATAAATGAATCCTATTTTAAAGATTATTTTCCTTTCAGCCAGTTTGTGATTTGTTAACATTAGAGAAGCAGATAGCTTATATAGTTATTCCTCTCATTGAATGTACTTTTATGTAAATGTTTATTAATAGAGGAAACTTTCTTGAACATTTCATTTATGATCCTAAAAGGTTTTCTCTTATTCCAACCAGATTATATATATGAAGCTTTAATGAACACTGCTATTGACATAGATTCACTAGAAGCAAACTCACATTTAGATGAAGTCTGGATCAAAGAAGTGATAAAGAAGGCAGGAATGAAGATAAAATGGAGCAAATTAAAACAGGACAAAGTCAGAGAAAATAGAGATGCTGTAAGAAGGTAAAACTTAACTATACATGGTGGGGGAGGGAGACCACGTAGTTTTATTCACACTTTTTTTTAAGATTTTTATTTTTCCTTTTTCTCCCAAACCCCCCCAGTACATAGTTGTGTTTTTTTAGTTGTGGGTCCTTCTAGTTGTGGCATGTGGGACGCCACCTCGGCGTGGCCTGATGAGCGGTGCCATGTCTGTGCCCAGGTTTCGAACTGGCAAAATGCTGGGCCGCCAAAGTGGAGCATGCAAACTTAACCACTTGGTCACAGGGCCGGTCCCATATTCACACTTTTTAATGGAGAGATTTGTCTTAAAATTCCTTGTGGAGTTAAAATGATGTGTGAATGTAGGTTAAACTTTTCTTAAAGTGCTTAAAGCATCAGAAAATATATTTGGGTTATTATAAAACTCTAAGGACTATTTTTCTTAGTTTGACAAGTGTGTGTATTGATCCTGAATTTTAAAATTTTATTCAGTTCTGCTTGATGTTATGAAGATGTCAACTGTAGGTGGGTAGTCATTATATATTTTGTCATAAGTCATTGTATGTATAGGAGAGGAAAATAGTTATGTCTAATCAAAGCTGAATGTTGAGTTTTATTGTTAATGGTAGTTTACAGAGATAGCTGCAAACCAATTCACTGGCTATAAAGTGTTTCTGATATTTTAGGAATGAAACCTCTTTGCTGTTAATTGTAGGCCCCAGGCAGATGCAGCTTTATTAACCCCAAGGTCCCCAGTTGTTACTATAATGGGCCATGTTGATCATGGAAAAACGACGTTACTTGACAAACTGCGAAAAACTCAAGTGGCAGCAATGGAAGCTGGAGGCATCACTCAGCACATTGGTGCCTTTCTTGGTATGAATACAAATCACCTTACAGTGTGTTTGGGAACCTCACATATTATTTTCTTGAACTAAGTATCGAAGTATGAAATATACAAATTCAAAGTAAGACGAAAGGCTAAAGCTTAAAGCCATTGGTTTGATGAAATGTAGAGTAGGTGGTTATTAAAGGTTATTGTGTACATTCTGTAAGAAGAAAATTATATTGCCTTTTTTATTCTAGCACAGTCTTAGTTTGGCTTAATGCACCTAAAATTTTTCAAAGCTAGGTTGTGATAATGTTGCTAATAATAATTAAATAATGGCTACCATTTACTGAGCACCATATATGCTTTATCTTTTTTATCTTCATAACAACATCTTGAGGTAGGTATTAATGTTCTTACTTACAGATAAGGAGGCTGAGGTTTGTTTAGGTTAAGTAACTTGCTCAAGCTACACAGCTAGTAATTGGCAAAGCCAGGGTTTAAATCCAGGGCTGTTGGACTCAGAGTCTGAGCTGCTAACCATATACTAAATTGCCTTTGTTGCTCAAGGCAGCTGTGCAGCTGATATTTGCTAATGTAGGGGTGGCTGCCTATGCAATTATTGGTCTGTTCTTGCTCCAGAATAGATATCAATTGGTACATGTATGAAAGTAGTTATATTCTAGAAATATGAAGAGTTTTAATTTGAAATTATTACATGAAAAGAAAACCCTAAAGGTCTCACTGGTATGTTACCACATTTCATTGTGAAATGATGATCTGTATTATTCTGATTAACATTGATGGAAAGGATAAAATGATTTTAAAGAATTAAAGATTGTTTTTTGATAATGTTGCATATGTTTCTTCATATTAAGGAAGTACGTATATGAGTCCTTAGTGTTTTTGGATTTCTGTTTCCACAGTTTCTCTGCCTTCTGGGGAGAAGATAACCTTTCTTGATACTCCAGGACATGCTGCTTTCTCAGCGATGAGAGCCAGAGGTGCTCAGGTCACTGACATCATCATATTGGTTGTAGCTGCAGATGATGGAGTGATGAAACAAACTGTGGAATCTATTCAGCATGCCAAAGATGCTCAAGGTACTGTGTGGCTGCCTTACATGTATCAGGAAGCAAGTTGCTTTTTTTAGAAAGGATCTACTACGTAGGGTCATTGTTCTGGAGTATTTATATACAGCTCGTTTAATCTTCCTGGCAGTCCCAGGGTTATTATACCTGTTTTGCAGATAAGGCTCAAAGACAGTTGAATTGTTTTCTCACAGACATAACCTCTAAGAAGAGTGTAGCAGGATTCAACTTGGGACTCGTGACCACAAGTACAGTTCTTCCTCGACTGGTTACTTTTTTGGCATGGTGTGAGAATTTAACAGTCTGTAATGACTTTTTTAAAAACTTTTTATCATGGAAATCTTAAACAGATATAAAAGTAAGAATAGAATGATAAACTCTATCTACCTGTCACCTGAATACATTAGGAATTGCGAAGTGGTGATATTCTAATTCTGTTATTCCTTGTTCATTTATTAACTGGAATTTTTCTCTAAGGAGAAATTTTCGCCTCATCTACTTTAAATAACTTCTTATTTGGTCAAATGTATAAAATTGAAACTTTTGGAAAATCAGTTGGCTAATTCTCCATTATTTCTCCATTTAAAATTGTAATGATAAACACCGCATGCACACATACTCTGTATGTTCATTCTTATTCTGATATGACCCTAGATCTGCTGAGAAAATACTCTTGTCTTAAGAAAATGTAGCTGATGGAGTGCATCATATTCTACTAGGTTTGTTGGCAAGAAAAAATAAAAGATTGAGAGTTACTGATCTAGTCCAATTCTTTCGTCTCACAACATGAAACTAAGACCCAGAGAGTAGCAGAAACTACCCCCAATTACAGAGTTAATTTGCAACATGTCTGCATTTGGAATCTTGTCTTCTAGCTTCCAGTGTCGTTCTCTTCCCTTTTTACTTCCTCAAAACTGTTTTTGTGGAATGGACTATGTCCTTAATGATTCTAGGATATGTGAAACAAAGAAGGGAGTGACAGATTTGCCAGGCTTTCTCAACCAACCAAAGAAGTTGGTTGAGATAGGATAAATTCCTTACATCATGCTTTCTACGCCTGTTCTCTTGGTCCCTATTAAGTTCCAGCTCATTGATATGGAATATACTTTTTCATAAGAGTAGGTTGTAGATTGCATAGCTTTTTTGTATCTATTTTCAATTTCTGTTCATTTGATACCTGAGGAAATTGCACAGTTGGTGAAATCCAACCAGGGAATTATCTCCTAGAATTTTGTGTGCTTTCTCTGTTGAGAGGCTATGTTTCATAATGACAAGTAGATTATGAGATTATTTGGTTCATTCATTAAGTAGATATTGAGGATCTATTATGTGTCAGTCACTGAACTAAGTGTATGAATAAAGAGTTGCTATAGGGATTGGTCTGGTGGCGTAGTGGTTAAGTTTGCGCTTTGGTGGCCCAGGGTTCACTGGTTCAGCTCCTGGGCGTGGACATACATGCTGCTTATCAAGCCATGCTGTGGCAGGCGTCCCACATATAAAATAGAGAAATATGGGCACAGATGTTAGCTGAGGGCCAATCTTCCTCAGCAAAAAGAGGAGGATTGGTGGCGGATGTTAGCTCAGGGCTAATCTTCCTCCAAAAAAAAAAAAGAGTTGCTATAAATCCTAAAAGAAAGTTTACAGTAATGATACTTAGTTTCAAGATGAGATGTTAGGTTTTAACAATGAGTTAATAGCTCCTAGAAAGAAGAGGCGAATGATCTAGTGATATTAGAATTGAATTAGAATCTGCTCTTGATTGTTTTCCTGGACATTATCTCCAGTGTAGCTGCTGATCTTGCTTTCAGGTTTGAGGATAGGCCTTTCTCTACCCAAAATACTATGGTTTTTTGTTTTGTTTATCATTTTAGGTGTCTATTCTTAATTCAGAATCTGCTTATAATTACAGTTTTGACATCTCACATCTGGAATCCTTTACGTGGAGAGAGCAGAGTAGGGTAGGTCTGAAGTGGGTCTTTTTAGGTCTTTTGTTAGATAAGCACTTCCACTGAGTAAAGAAAAAGCCAGAAAAGATTAATGTCTTTCATTGTGAATACCTAGAATTGAAGGTGTCATCATTTGCATTCTTCTTAACTCTGTCTCTGCCAGTTCCTATTGTCCTTGCCATAAATAAGTGCGACAAAGCTGAGGCGGATCCTGAAAAAGTGAAAAAAGAACTGCTAGCTTATGACGTGGTGTGTGAGGATTACGGAGGTGACGTGCAAGCAGTGCACGTCTCTGCTCTTACGGTAAGTACAGCACCTCAGAGATGACCGTGTTCAGGTGGGAACGTGACACTGTCCATAATGCACATGGTGCCTTATAACTGAAGGACATTTTGACATGCCTAATTTCTGTTGTTGTTTAAAAATTCTCTGGGTACTAGGCAATGCTGGTGTCATTATCCTGGTTTGGCAGGTTAGAAATTAGGCTCAGAAGGGTCGGTCACCAATCCAAGGTAACATAGGTGATGAGTGGGGAACCGGGTCTAAACCCAATGCTTTTGTTCTTATGAGATACTTAGAGTGAGGAGAATAAATGGTGAATGAAGTAGGGGATAGGGTAATAGGAGGCTAAAGATTGTGTTAAGCAGAAATGAAGTCTATTTGGTAGTAAAAAGTGCTTGTATTTCATGCCTTTTATGCTGAAAAACTATGGAATAGGTCTTAGGGCATTTAAGAGAGATTTAAACAGAAATTTAGGTTAATACAAAGATGACTGTTGATTGACTCAATGTTTCTATGAATTGCTATAAGTTTTATGTTGTGATGAATTCCATTTTCTTTTCAATATCAATTATTCTTTTCTGGTTGAAAAACACCAAGGAAGCTCAGTACTGGCTTTGTGACAGCATTTTCCAATTCTCTTGTCCTACACAGGTTACTGCTAAGTAGCAATTTCCTTTTTTGTCTGTTTTTTTAAAATCACATCCCATGGTTTACTCATGATACAGCCTTTTTTTCTGATCGTTCACTGAAGGGATGGTGCTGTATTTGGCTGCCTTCTTCCAGTTAAGTCTCATTTTATCTTTACTTTTCTTAAATTTGTTACCACCAAGATTCTTAGAAATAATGCCTCCTTTAATGGTAAAACCATGCCTCTTTTTCTCTGAAACTCATAAAATGCCATCTTACTTTCTTACCTTTCCACGTACCTTGATTGCTATTGCATTCTGAAAGCCAGATGGCAAAATTAAAATGTTTGAAAAGATGGCTACCTTTTCTGCCCAGATACCATCAGATGCATAGACAGATGTAAAGCTCCTGAGGCAGACTTGGAGGCATGGCAGAGGTGATTCCTGGGGAATGGAGGGACTTGGGAGAGAGTGGCAGGGAAGAAAGATGAGGCCTTCTTTTCCAAGAGGACTACTTCATGCAAAGAAACAACCCCAGCTCTGCTTTTCAGAGCAGCATTTTGTAAATTGGAATAAATACTAGGAATAAGTGGCTGGGTAAGGAAAGTATTTAGTCAATTTTGTTTACAGTTGTCTCTTTTTTTTTTTTTGAGGAAGATTAGCCCTGAGCTAACTACTCCCAATCCTCCTCTTTTTGCTGAGGAAGACTGACCCTGAGCTAACATCCATGCCCATCCTCCTCTACTCTATACATGGGTTGCCTACCACAGCATGGCTTTTGCCAAGCGGTGCCGTGTCCGCACCCGGGATCCGAACCGGCGAACCCCGGGCTGCCAAGAAGTGGAACGTGTGAACTTAACTTCTGCGCCACCGGGCCAGCCCCTCTGTTTTATACTCTGTAACAACTGTGAGCAATCTCTTAGCTGACATGGGAAAAATCCCTTGCCCATCAGTTCCAGTTCCATTACCGGTTAATCAGCTGCGTGATCTTGGAGCCCTAGAAGGCATAGTAAACAAAGATCATTAAAGGTGAAAGGATCATCTAATCTAGCTCCTTCATTTTACAGTTGAGGAAAGGAGATCCAAGGAGGTGAAGTGATTTTTCAAGGTTGCACAGCTGGGTAGTTACAGAGTGTGGCTTAGTGCCTGGGTCTAGTCAGTGCTTTCTCTCCTTATTTATTTAATAAGAGTAAATAATGCTTGACTTACTTATTTTACAGGATTATTGAGTGGATCAAATGAAGTAATAGATGTGAAAGCTTGTTCAATTGGATAGAATTTCAAATGTAAATTAGCATTGTAAAGAAAGTGAGAGGAAGAAAAGACAATTATAGAGACAGATGGAGGAGAGAGAGAATGAGTGAAGCATGTGTTTATGAAAGGGTATTAAGAAGAACCACTAGTGATCATCCTTTAAAAAAAAATAGCCGCTGTTCCTTGCGGGATCTGTCCCTGGGCCAGGTTTTCTTGCTTATCTCTTCTTTCCTCTGTCCTTCTAATTGGATAATCCATGCTTTTAATGCTTACAGAGAAAAGTATAATGTAACTGTCAAGGATTATTTGGCTTTCTGACCCTGATATTTACACTTACAGATAATATTTATTAATGAGAATTAACTACTTTTTTTGTTGTCGTTATTGAAGGGTGATAATCTGATGGCTTTGGCAGAGGCAACAATTGCTCTCGCAGAAATGTTAGAATTGAAAGCAGACCCTACTGGTCCAGTGGAAGGAACAGTAATAGAATCTTTCACAGACAAAGGAAGAGGGTAGGACTGTTAAAATGCTTACTTTTTAATAATTTTGTTCCATGGTTTTTGTGACTTGATAACAATGTGTTCTTTTTATTGCATGTTATTGTTAGTCCGTGAAAAACATGTAGAGCCAGCATACACAACACAAAAATGCAGTTATTATCAGTAGGCCATAGCGACTATCTATATATATCTAGTAATCATATTTAGATGACTTAAGTAGTTCAGTTTGTTTGATTTTTTTGCCCACTAACTTAGCTGAATTGGTAAAGCCACATAGACTAACACAAATTGGAATAAAATAGAAATTATTGCATTTTAGGGTCTCTAAATTCTTTTTTTTCCTGCTTTTTCTCCCCAAGTCCCCCCAGTACATAGTTGTATATTTTAGTTGTGGGCCCTTCTGGTTGTGGCATGTGGGATGCCGCCTCAACATGGCCCAGTGAGCGGTGCCATGTCCGCACCCAGGATCTGAACTGGGGAAACCCTGGGCCGCCGAAGCAGAGCCTGTGAACTTAACTACTGGGCCACGGGGCCAGCCCCTCTAAATTCTTTATGTCCTTATTCGTTAGTATAATATATACAAAGGCCTTTGAAATGGTGTTCTATTCTTTAATTTCCCTCCCTATCAGCAAAAAAAGTCTTCTCACTGCTTGATGAATTAGTTCTAGAAAGGGGATCAGAATTCTGTTAGAACACTCAGCTATCTGCACCCTCCACTACCATAATCTTACCAGAAAAATTTTTTTATTGTGGTAAAAGACATGTAACATTAAACTTACCATCTTAACAATTTTTAAGTGTAGAGTTCGGTAGTAGTAGGTATATTCACATTGTTGTGCAAAAGATCTCTAGAACGTTTTTATTTTGCAAAACTGAAACTACACCCATGAGACGCTAATTTCCCCTCCCTTCTCCCCTCAACCCTTGGTAACTATCTTTCTATTTCCTGTGAGTGGAATCATACAGTATTTGTTCTTTTTGACTGGTTTTTTCACTTAGCATAATGTCCTTGGGGTTCATCCATGTTGTAGCATGTGATAGGATTTCTTTCTTTTTTAAGATTGCATAATATTCCATTGTATGTATATACTGCATTTTCTTTATCTCTTCTTCTGTTGATGTACGTTTGGATCGCTTCCACCTTTTGGCAATTGTGAAGAAATTTTTTTTTCTTATTTCTTTTTTCTTTTTTTTGTTTTTAAGATTGGCCCTGAGCTAACATCTGTTGCCAATCTTTTTTTTTTCTTCTTCTCCCCAAAGCCCCCCAGTACATAGTTGTATATTCTAGTTGTAGGTCCTTCTAGTTCTGCTGTGTGGGACATTGCCTCAGCATGGCTTGATGAGCGGTGCCAGGTCTGTGCCCAGGATCCAAACTGGCATACCCTGGGCTGCCGAAGTGGAGTGTGTGAACTTAACCATTCGGCCACAGGGCTGGCCCAAGAAATGTTTTTATAGTATGTAAAACTGCTTGAGAAGTTGTGAAATTAACCCTGTGTGTACAAATATATATATTTAAATCTCATATATATCTAAATCTCATATGTGTTTACATATATATATTTAAATCTCATGATATATATTTAAATCTCTTAAATCTCTCATATTTAAATCTCATAATCTCATGTCTTTGCACTTAAGGAAGTGCTGTTACATCCTGATTATGGCATTAAGAATATATACTTTTATTTTCATTTTAGTCCTGTTACTACAGCTATAATTCAAAGAGGAACTTTGAGAAAAGGCTCGATTCTGGTTGCTGGAAAGAGTTGGGCAAAAGTACGCTTAATGTTTGATGAAAATGGTAAAACAGTCAACGAAGCCTCTCCTAGCATGCCAGTGGGAATTACAGGCTGGAGAGACCTTCCTTCTGCAGGAGATGAAATTCTTGAAGTAGAATCTGAGGTATATCAAGCTTAATTCTTATATATTATATATGAAGTAATGATTTTAAATATCAATCTATAATGTTATACCAAATAAGTATGTTAATGTTAACAAATATTCTAGACTATAAGGGGCTATGAGGGGGCCATTTTAGAATTTGGCTATATAATTTTTAAAAATTTGAGATATGATTTTTTAAATTAAAAAATGTTAATTATACACAAAACCCCCAAATTAAAGTTTTCTAAGCTTCTTGAAACTTATAAAATTAGTAGTTTCATATATGAGTTAAGCTAATTTCATAGTGGAGGAAAAACACGAAGCTTTTAGCCCACCAGTTACTGGTTTCTATTTAGTTAAATAATGCCCCCTTTTTTCCCTTTAAAGCCAAGGGCACGTGAAGTTGTTGACTGGAGGAAGTATGAGCAAGAACAGGAGAAAAATATAGAGGATCTGAAAATGATAGAGGAAAAGCGAAAGGAACACCAAGAAGCACATCGGAAAGCTCGTGAGAAGTATGGCACTTTGAACTGGAAGGAGAGATCATTTATGAAGTACCAAGAAAAAAAAGAACAAAAACCCTTAAAGTCAAAAGAGAAAACAGAAAGAGATTCAAATGTACTTCCTATAATTATTAAAGGTGACTTCTTAAAGATTTTATTTTACAGGGCTGGCCCAGTGGCGCAGTGGTTAAGTTCACATGTTCCACTTCAGTGGCCTGGGGTTCGCTGGTTCAGATCCTGGGTGCAGACATGGCACACTTGGCAAGCCATGCTGTGGCAGGCGTGCCACATATAAAGTAGAGGAAGATGGGCATGGATGTTAGCTCAGGGCCAGCCTTCCTCAGCAGAAAGAGGAGGATTGGCAGCAGATGTTAGCTCAGGGCTAATCTTCCTCAAAAAAAAAAAAGATTTTATTTTGCAACTCATTTTAGTAATATATGTATGTCTTAATTTTCACAATTAACTTGGGCTGTTAAATTAAAGCCAAAATTATTTCAGTATTTTTGAGTATTTTTTTTGAGGTAATTGACATATAGCATTAGATTAGTTTCAGGTGTACAACATAATGATTCAATTTTTGTATATATTTTAAGTGATCAACACAATAAGTCTAATTAACGTCCGTCACCATTCATAGTTAAAATTTTTTTTCTTGTGATGAGAACTTTTAAGATCTACTCTTTTAGCAACTTTCAAATATGCACTACAGTATTATTAACTATAGTCATCATGCTGTACATTACATCCTCAGGACTTACATGTTTTATAACTGGAAGTTTGTACCTTTTGACCACCTTGACCCATTTCACTCACACCCCACTGGGGGAGGTTTTCTTAGTAAACCGTTTTTCTTGCTGATTTTGTTGTAAGTATACATTTGGTTCATTATTCTTTATTAAGTAGATATTTATAATGCTAAACCTAAATAAAAGTGGATTTAGTGGTAAATGCCATTCTTGTTAAAGCTTTAAATGGGTTCTTGTCATTTTTGTGTCTATTAATGCCTAACTCTTAACACCAATAATTTTAAACTTTTGCTGCATTTAGGTGATGTTGATGGTTCCGTTGAGGCCATTTTGAACATTATGGATACCTATGATGCTTCACATGAGTGTGAACTAGAATTAGTACATTTTGGTGTGGGTGATATTAGTGAAAATGATGTTAACCTTGCTGAAACATTTCGTGGTAAGGATTCCATTTCCTATTTGTCTAGCTGTGTTCCCTAGGACACACTGAATCATTTGCTTCTGTCTTTTGTCGCTTGGCTAGTCATGCCTAACGTTTCCCTCCATCGGCATCAGCCTTCCTATTGCAGTAGAGCCCCAGCTAGCAGCTGGGGGGAGTGCGATGTGCAGCGTTGGAGCCACAGCTCCGCTTGTCGTCATCATACTGCAATCTTGGGGAACTATTTCCAGCCCAGTAGTGTTTCTTGATTCCTTTTTGAAGGCACCGGTACTGTCCCTTCTCCCTCCTCCCAGTTCCTCACCTGGCCTAAAGTTGGTTCTCAATATCTTTCATTTAGACTTTTGTATGCTAACACTATAATCAGCCTATTCAGTACTTTTCTTCACCTTTTATTTTTGGCTACCTGTTTTTGTTCATTGGTAATTTTACAAATCTTATCTTTCTTAGATCAAAAACTCCTTTTAGCTTTAAATGCCTAGAAGGCAGGGGGACTGTTTATTAGTCAAACTTATGATACACAAAAAGGAGACTCATGACTGTCATTTTAACTAGGTCTAACACCTAGGAAAGCACGAACATTATTGAGTGGTTGATGGATCATTTAGGAAGGAGGTACTTCATGACCTGACTTGATTAGAATTAGATATTACCTTTACTACTGAAAAGATATTGTCAGTAATGCTGGTTAATTCAAAGTATCTTATAGGTACTGCCTGGCCTAGCACTATACTACGTAATGTAGAGAGTGTATTGAATGTTTTCTTAATGATAAGGCTTTTAAAGTGGTTGTTTTTCTCTTGGTTAAGCTGTTTGCATTAATTTTTTTCACTTGTTACTTCTCTGGTATAAAAACCAAAGCTTTGTTTAGCATAGTGCCTTGCACATTATGGGCACTTAAAATAATGTTTCTTAAATGAATCAATTTAAAAATCATAAAGAAATTTTCCTTGTTAAACAAGCCATAATAGAATTTATAAAATCCTTTAATTTGAAAATTTACTAGTTTTTGTGAGAAAAAATTATAGAATTTCTTGTCTCCCCCAATGCTTTTACTTTACAAGAAGTAAGTAAAACAATTTAGATTTGAGTTTCTGCTTGAAAGACAAACTGTTTAATGCAATAGTTGAGCTACTTTATTGATTGTATTTCTGCTTGCCAGGTGTTATATATGGCTTCAATGTGAATGCAGGAAATGTTATCCAGCAGTCAGCTGCAAAAAAAAGAGTGAAAATTAAACTTCACAAAATCATTTACCGTCTTGTTGAAGATTTGCAGGAGGAACTGAGCAGTAGATTGCCCTGCACTGTGGAAGAGCACCCAATCGGTGAGTGTGCACTGCCTGTTACTTTTTTTTGAGGAAGATTAGCCTTGAGCTAACATCTGCCACCAATCCTCCTCTTTTTGCTGAGGAAGACTGGCCCTGAGCTAACATCCATGCCCATCTTGCTCTACTTCATACGTGGGACGTCTACCACAGCACGGTTTGCCACCAAGCAGTGCCATGTCTGCATCTGGGATCAGAACCGGCGAACCCCAGGCCACTGAAGCCAAACGTGCGCACTTAACCACTGCACCACCGGGCTAGCCCAGCCTGTTACTTTTAAACATTCATATCTTAGGCGCTGTAAATAACACTTGAAAACAAAGTTTAGGGGAAATGTATTTCATTACTGAAATACATTCACTGTTCCAGTACATAGCATGTTCTAGGAAAAATGACTACAATTGATAAGAATTCGGTGTAACTTCATATGTGTTATGAACACCTGCCCTCTGCAACATATTGTGCTTCGGTCCTGAGGATACAAAGGCAAACAAGGCAGCAGGAACTTGCCCTCGAGTTTAGACATGAACAACTAATTGTAATACAAACGAGACAGGGATAGGAGGTGTAAAGATTATTAACAGCTGTTGTGGAAGGAACAGAGAAATCCACCATGAGAAGAAAATTTACATGTAAATATTAAAAACTTAAAAATATTCTTTCTATCATATCCCTTGGCCAGATTAAAGGGTAAATTTATTTAAGGCCAACTGAATCATTTTATCTTTTCTTTTTCTTCCCCACATACAGGTTTTCTTGTTAACTTTTTATTTTGATAATAGTTTTAAATTTCTAGAAAAATTACGAGAAAAGAATAAGGTGTTCCCTCCCATATTCCTTTTACCCAGTTCATGAATTGTTTACATTTTGCCCCATTTGCTTTATTCCTCCCCACTCCATAGACACACACACACATGACTTTTTTCTGGACCATTTGAGAATAAATTTGAGATATATCCATTTTGCCAGTAAATACTTGCATTTCTGAAGCACAAGGATGTTCTCTTATACAACCACAGAAGAAATATCAAACTCAGAAAATTTAACATTAGTTCTATTATCTAAGCCACAGTTTATATTCAAATTTTGTCCATTGTTCCAATAATGTGGTTTGTAGGTGAATACTTTTCCCCCATTCCGGGATCATGGGTTACATTTAGTTCTTTAGCCTTTTTTGACCTTGATGTTTTTGAAGTGTTTAGGATAATGAGTTTGTAGAATGTACTTTAATTTGGGTTTGTCTGATGTTTCCTCATGATAAGATACAGTATTTGCATTTTTGGTCCACGGTACGGATTTATTTTAGTCTTTTCTGAACCGCTAAACATGATTATACAGAGATTTGTCTGTTTTGTGCTAAGAGCAATTTGGAAAACTAGAGTCATATGAGGATTTCTAGGAGGAAGCAAGCACCAGTCAAATGATACTAACCCTAGAAAATTGGTACATTATAGTGTGTAATACCATGTCATTATCGGAGTTTGTTGTAATTTTCAGTTGGTGAACAAATGAAGCTCAGTTACAGAATTAGTACTCTTTTTTTTTCTCCCGCCTTCTTCTTCTTCCCAAAGCCCCCCACTGCATAGTTGTATATTCTAGCTGTGAGTGCCTGTGGTTGTGCCATGTGGGACGCCACCTCAGGACGGCCTGATGAGCGGTGCCATGTCCACACCCAGGATCCGAACCAGTGACACCGTGGGTCACCGAAGCAGAGTGCGCAAACTTAACCATTTGGCCACGGGGCCGGCCCCATCCTTTTATTATTTTTTTTAATTATTTTTTTTCTGCTATGAATTAGTACTCTTAAGTGGATATAAATTACCAGTGGTGAGATTAACAATAAATCACGTAACAACAGATGATCTATTCTAGAAAATATATTGAGGGACAGCTGAAAACTAGGTTTTCATGGAGCAGACAGGAATTGTACTAATCTTATCATCAACTATTACCATCTTCTAGTGCATTTTATTCAGCCAAAAAAGTGAGTTCCATTTTTCTTTTGTTCATTCTTTTGGTAAGAATGTGTATTTTTACAATTTTTTTCCAAGAATACCCACGGATTTTCATAGGTTTTTATTTCTAATATTGGTCAGGCAAATAAAGTTGGTGGAGTCACAGAAAACCAGGACTTCTTTATATGCATGAGTTTGTATTTTTCTCACACCTTTAATTCTTACCCTGCAGAACGTCAGAAATCATGTATTTCTCAGAATCTGTTTTCGGTACACTTAATGTTCTCTTCTTCCTAAAGGTGAGGCTTCTATACTAGCCACGTTCTCTGTAGCCGAAGGGAAGAAAAAAGTTCCTGTGGCTGGCTGCAGAGTCCAAAAGGGACAGTTAGAAAAACAAAAGAAATTTAAATTAATCCGTAATGGACATGTTATTTGGAAGGGTAAGCAACATCAAAATCTTTTTCTGTATCATATCCAGTCACCAAAATCTGATCACTCTGTGTTTCCATCTGAAATCTGTTTGTCTTTCACTCCGATAATCCTAGTTCAGGCCATTCCTTCTTGCTAATTTATAACTGGCCTTTAGTTGATGGGCTCCCTCTCTTACTAGCCTTGATGATTCCTCCAGCATTGTTCATCTCCCAAACTGATTTCCTAAACTTCCAACAATTGGCCCCAAAGTACCTTTGCTGCCATGTCTCCTACACTTCATCTATATCACGCTTGCTTACTTCCTTTCTTATCTTGACCTTTTGGCCTGCAATGTCTTTTATCCTGGTTTATCTTTCTTCAAATCCTGAGTACAATCCCGTCCTCTGCAGTGTTATTCTACCTTTGAAAAATGAGATTTTATTTTTTGCTGCAAATCAAATCTTGTTTACAGCAAACTTCATTTTGCTTTGGTTTCCTTGGTATTTAGTCTCACCATTTAACATGACAGGACTGTAAAATTTGTAAGAATTTCAGTGTAGTTCCTTTTAACACCAGATACATGGCATTTAGTGGGTCCTTATTAATATATGAATCTTAAGTTTCTCTTATTTTTTTTTAAGGCTCGTTAACCTCACTGAAACATCATAAAGATGACGTTTCAGTCATCAAAACTGGAATGGATTGTGGTCTCAGTTTGGATGAAGAAAAGATAGAATTTAAAGTGGGAGACGAAATTGTTTGTTACGAAGAAAAGGAAGTTCTAGCCAAGACTTCTTGGGATCCAGGATTTTAAAATTGTATTAAAAATGTAAATGATAAATGTCTTGATTTATTATAGAACAACTAGTTTTGCTTTACTGAAGGTAAGAATTCACCACTACTGGTCAAAAAGTACCCAAAGAGTTCAAGTGTTAACAATGCATTAACTGTCAAAATGCTACAGAAAAAGGAAACCTTACTTAAGGATGCCGTACTAGAAATCCTGGAATTGAAAAGAACCATATATTAAAAGGGAATTGTTAATTATTGGTATATCATTGAATGTAATAATCAGAGTTTAACAAACTTCAAGTGTACGTTTTAGTTAAGAGTGGTAGCAAGAGAAGCAATTCTCCCTGAATTGAGCTCCAGGGGCAAAATATGGTGCCAGTCAAATACTGCTTGAAACCGTATTTTTTAGTGTCACTAGTACTGATGAGAAAACATTAAATTCCTGAGTTGATGCTCAACAACGAACAGTAGTCTGTTCCCTTGTACTACAGACAGCAAACATTCCAGCCAAACTACCTAAGGACTGACGATGAATTTTTCAATTGGCAACTTAAAGCTTAGCCTTTAAATTTCCTATCTTAACAACTTATGTTGTAGCCTCTTTAGGCAAGGTCCTAACACCACTTTACACAAACCAGTTTCTCAGACTAGGGGAGGCAGTTGCCCCTGCCCCCGCCCTGGGGTCATTTGGCAATGTCTGGACAAACTTTTGGTTGTGGTAATGGGGGTTGGATGGTATGCTACTGGCATCAAGTGGGTAGAGGCCAGGGATCCTACGATGCACAGGACAGCCTCCACAACAAAGAGTTATCTGGTCCAAAATGCCAATAGTGCTGAGGTAAAAAAAGCTGACAGAAAGACAAACTGGCTTCTGTCCAGACAGCTGATATTAAATACAACACAATTCTTCTAACAAAGTATAGATGGTTTATCAAAGAAAATGGTGTGACCATCAATTTGACACTTAAAAACCACTCAATCAATGGAATAAAATTCAACAATTAAATGTTAGTTCATGTCTTTTATTAATCCATATACCATTACTTGTCTTCTGGTTTGTTGAAACAATAGGTCAGACAACATTTGCCACAATAATGTCTGTCAAAATGGCTAGCCATAAAAACTCCAGCACCACATTCATCTGAAGGGCACTCCCGACGAAGGCGACTGATTTTGCCATTCTCATCCACCTACAAGAAAGTACAAAGCTGCTGTTAAGATAATTTTACAACATATTGTAAAGTCTAATTTAAGTAACTCAAAATATTTAAACTTTTAATCACATAATTGTATTACCTTTAGTACTTCTAAACCAAAGCACCCCAAATCCTTACCAGTAATTACTAAAACAAAAAAGTTCAGAGTTAATTAAAATCTAGGTTTGCAAGTGGATCTAGGTTTGCAAGTGGTGGACAGAGTTAAGACCCAAGCCCAGATCTCACTTAAAAATCAGAACCTTAGCTTGGAATAAGCAGCTAAAGGTAAACCCTATGATATAAAGCTGGTTCAAATACCAAACAGGAAAAAAACCAAACTTCTATGTTAAAATGAGTTTGAAACTAGAGAGGCTAACAAAATGTATTACTCTATAGGTAAAAACTTATTTTTAATAAGTTATCTTACCTTATAGTACTTCAGGACAGCCAGCTTAACCTTCTTTCTCTTATGCTTATTCTTCTTGGGAGTGGTGTAAGACTTCTTCTTTCTTTTCTTAGCACCACCACGAAGTCTCAACACAAGATGAAGAGTGGATTCCTGTTAATGGAACAGAAGATGAAACAGGCTTTAAAAACGATTACATTAATGCTCATGCTCCATTAAAAATGGACAACTAGGGGCTGGCCTGGTGGCATATTGGTTAAGTTTGTGCGCTCCGCTTCAGCTGCCTGGGGTTTCCAGGTTCAGATCCCGGCTGTGAACCTACATATTGCTCATCAAGCCATGCTGTGGTGGTGACCAACATAAAAAATAAGAGGAACACTGCCACAGACGTTAGCTTGGTGACAATCTTCCTCAAGCAAAAGCAGAAAGTGGCAACAGATGTTAGCTCAGGGCCAATCTCCCTCACAAAAAAAGAGAGAGAGAATGGACAACTAGCATCACACATCTTTTAATTGAATCCGATAGGAAGTACACAATACCACAGATGAGGGAGTCTTGGGGGGGAAAAAGAGATATCTGATTATTAACTACTAGTTTATAGGGAGATTAAAAAACACTAAATTACACCATGGGATGCAATCTGCAAAATCCAGAATGTGACAAAGTACAGTAGTGTTTCTCAAATGTTAGTGTAGGAGTCACCTGGGAATCTACTGCTAATCTAAAGCTATTCTCCCTACTCTTGTGTACTGGTTAAAATTTCAAAAATAAAACATTTATATATAAAAGGCTGTTCTTTCCCCCAAACAGACCTTTTGAATGTTGTAGTCAGACAAAGTACGTCCATCTTCCAGTTGCTTGCCAGCAAAGATCAGTCTTTGCTGATCAGGAGGAATTCCTAACGAAAACAGACAACAAATAAGTCACAGCAGAACTAGCACAAATGCTCAAGATTTACAAACGAATAACCCAGAGTCAAACAAATGGTACTAAGAGCTGTCACTGAGTTCTTCCTACAGGCTAGGCAAGGTTTTAACTTGACGATTCTTACTAGTATTAATATAATCTTCATCTCACAGATAAGGAAACAAATGTAGAGAGTTAAATAGCTCGTGCAAATTCACAGATAGAAAATGCACTGCAGCTTGGCTCCATGCTCATAAACGTCTGCCTACCGTGTCACTCCGAAAGCACTTCACTTTGTCAATCCGATCTCTTCCCGCCCCACCAGAACAGGCAAGTCCAGCTCCCACTGGCAGGGTGGAGCCTCCACAAGTTAATATTTCTGAATTGGAAACAGTACTTACCTTCCTTATCCTGGATCTTGGCCTTTACATTTTCTATTGTATCTGAGGGTTCAACCTGAGTTTTAGAATGCAAACGTATTGGTAACACAGTAAGAAACGAAAACGCACCATCAGTTTAAGGGTCACCACAGAACCGAGGCGATGGGGGCTGAAACCCACCCAACAGGGCTGATCACTCCACCGCTGGGCAGGCCGCCTCCCAGGGCTGCCGCGGCGAGCACACATCCCACCACAGACTGGGGCGGGCGGCGCTGCCGGCCACACGTGCCCGCGCCCAGAACGCGGGGAGCGCCGCCCTCCACCGCGGGACCCCTGCGTGGCTACCTGGCCGGAACCGCTGGAGAGGGGACAGGCTCAGACTACAGACTTCGAAAACCAGCACTCAGCCCCCGCTCAGCTAACAACTCCCAATTCAGGGCCAGGCTTCAGAACCCCGACTCGGAGACATTCTAAGGCAGAAAGCAGCGCCGGGCCCGAAATCTACCCCAGGCTCTTCGTCAGACTCTGGCTTCCTCCCGCCACCTGGCCCGTACCTCGAGAGTGATGGTCTTCCCCGTAAGAGTTTTCACGAAAATCTGCATCTTGGCGGCGGTTGCACCTGAGGTGGGGGAAAAGGAAGAGACAGGTTAGACCTGGGGACACACGAGAGTGCGACCGGGAGGCCGACGGCCGGAGAGCGGCCAAACAGCACACACTCACCGCAGATGGCGGATTGGAAAGGAAGGGCCCGGCGCCGGCCCACGGGGTCTCCTGGAGCCCTCGCCGGAGGCCCCACCTCTTAGGCCACCATACCAAATGCCTGACCGCTGTCACAGCGGCTGTCTAACCACATGCCAGACTAGGTCGTGAAACTCATTTCTCCTCCTCCTAGCTTTGGCTTATTTCTCACTTTAACCGTCAGAACGCTCTCGAAATAGTATATTTAAATAACTTAAAAGTGTCTTTAAAAGGCTTTTCCCATTCAGTCGACGTAGCTAAGAGGGTCTTTAAAAGGTGGGATGGGGGGCGGAGAGGGGCCCTCATTGAGGAAAAGGGAGGAAATGGAAGTGACTTCTGGGAATTGTAGTTTTCCGCTGCTTTCTTTTAGCTAGGACTACTTATCCCAAGATGCAGTTCCACACCCCTAGGTTCCCCTAGTTACTATCTTAAAACGCCGGAGTCGGTGTTTGGAGGAAGGGATTAAGGTGAGGAGGGAGGAAGGTGAGGCGAGCAATGGTTTCGGGAAAAATGGAAACGGGTCGGAAATGACTAGGAGGGAAAGTTAAGAGCCTGGAGAACGGTAGGGGAACGAAAGTATCGTTCGCCCACTGACAGGCGGGGAGGGGCGGAGGATCAACGATCTACCGCCGGACGCTCCCTCGGCCTGCGATGGAAGGGAATTCCTGCGGTCAACTACGGGCCAACTCAAAACCTCGGGCTCATCCTTTCCTCGCCCTCTAGCCCCTCCCGCCTTCAACCCCCAAGTCTCTACTAGTCTAAGGAAGGTCTGGGCCTTGTGTGTCAGTCTTGAGTGTGAAACCGTTTAGTATGTTGAAAATCTCAGGAATTTTCAAATTTTAAAATGAAGCCATAGGGGAAAGAAACCTGCGAAATGGTTATTTAGTTGTAGAATTTCCAAGTTTGGACGTTGGGAGTGGTGGTGAAGGTCCTAAGATGAAGTTTTTGGGGTACTGTGTAGGATGCTCTGGCAAGGTGGGCCAAGGAGAAGCGAGTTACGCCCTTCCCCTGGCCTTTCTCCACTGCGCAAACCGCGGCATCCTGTCTAACGTACCCTCCTAATGTCTCCTCTATTTCTCTCTCTGTGCCCTCCCCTCTGCATCCGCGTCCCCACATTCAGGCCCTCCTTACTTTTCTTCTGGAAGGGTTCAGTATCTAACTTCTAACCTGTCTGCAGTCTTTCTCCTTTTCTAACCCACCTTCATTTTTGCCTCCAAGATATTCAAAAAAGTAAAAATGATTATTATTCTACTTCACCTTGAGGATAAAATCCGAATTTCTTAGTATAGTATTCAGCCTCTGCCTCCTTTACAGCCTAATCTGCCAAACCCATTATTCACTTTACACTTTAATAACATTGAGCTAACTGAAATTCCTGACTTATGCTCTCTTATGCTTTGGCACTTCTGAAGAATCCATTTCTTCTTCCTGGAACACTCTTCATCCCATATTCTGCCAACTAGTCTCCACCTTTACCACAAAACTTGAAAGATTTGTCTATAACCCTTGTCTCCAATTCTTCCCCTTCCATTGACTGAACCTACTCCTGTCAGGCATTTGTCCCTACCATTCCAGTGGAATAGCTCTTGTGGTCACTAATCACCTCTAAGTTGCTAAATTCAATGATCATTTAATTGTGTTTGGTCTGTCAGCCGCATTTAACACAGTTGGTCACTGCTTCACTCTCTGAAACACTTTCTTCACCTGACTTCCAGGTTGCCCCTCTCGCTTCTCCTACCTTCCTGGACACTATTCCAGGCTCTTTTGCTGCTTCCTCTTGATTTACTAGACATAGAAATTTGGAGTGCCCCAAAGACCCAGTCCTTGGACCTCTGCTTT